TAAAAAACTAAAAAATCAAAAAACTAAAAAATTTAATTTTTAAAAAACTTAATTCAAAAAACTCAAATCAAAACATACTGATTATTTTTTAAAATAAAGAGCACGTAGGCCTTATTCGGCAAATCAAAGTAATTCGACACTTCCAAGGAGTCTATTCTTTGAACTTTTCAAAGTGCCCCTCCCTTTTAGCCTTTTCTTTTTGTATCCTACAATTTACAAACCTTTGGAGTCTAGGCTTTCCATCTATGTGTACTTTTACAGCTTGTGTTCCCATTTCTTTACGCCAAGTTCATCCCCATGAGGATAAAAACAAGAGAACCCTGCTAAAAAACGATCATTAAGAGGCTGTTTGGAATCTTCAAATTTGTTATTTATTGTTTTAATTTTTAATTTTGTTATAGGATTAGAAATTTTCAAATTTGTCTTAAGCACATGTTGGAGGTAACCAAAAAATATCACTGCTCCTCTATTTTAGAATTGTTTATAATTTTTTTATATTTTATTTTAAAAGTCTGTTAAACTGTTTAGTTTATGGACTAGAAATAACTCAAATAAATTTAATGAAGAGTGTTTTTGCGTTCTACTATTTGATTATTAATTTTGTAGTTACAATAAATTAGGCGTAATTACAAATCAAGCTCAGGTCCACGCCAAGACTATTAGGAAGACTTCAAGTAGGAGTGATTTTTGACTTGTTTGTCCTGCAGTTTTTTGTTTTTGTGCATAAAATCTATGAGTAGAATATAATGAGACCAGTTGATAAGACTCTTGAAGAAGGGAATGCCATAGCCAAATTTTATGATCCCATTTATGAGTTTGATGTTGAATATAAGGCCTCTCTTCATTACCACACAAACATAATTGAAAAACAATCGCATCATTACGAAAGAGTATATATATTTTTGATAAACATGACAATAAATCATCAATTTATTGGAGTATAAAATAGATTTCAAAATGGATAAACAGATCGTCTACGTAGAAAGGATACGAGTCTCCACATAAACAAAAAACTAAAACTCCATGCAGGGAGGAGAAAAACCTCCATGAAAGGAGGAGAAAAACCTCTACAAATAGAGGTATTATTGTGTGGGGATATATTTTCTGAATACCAACACGTGGCATGGTGACGCCGACGTGTCAGCCGAGGTGCCATGTGTCGTGGTAGTTAAGCTGAGATGATCTCGGAGTTGCCGAGGTTATCCCCGAAGATATTGGAATCCGAGATAAGCAGATAAGGGACAAGAGTCCTAGGACAAAGAGGGGACTTAGCCTAGATAAAATTCTTAAGGGAGTTTATCTTTATCTCTTAAAGAGTCCAGAGTAAGCAGTAAATTGGAGTTCATAGAAGTCATACTTCTAGTAGGACTTGGATTGAGTATATTATAAAAGAGAGGCACCCCCGTGGGTCTAAGATATGCAATTTATGTTTTAAGTGTTAAGTTTTGCATTTGATTATCTTTGAGAAATATACTGACATGATCGTCGGAGTGCCCCCGGGTGGAAGAACCACCGCCGGAGCCTTTTCTTTCTGTTTCAGGTTGCTAAAGCCATCTATTCTGCCTGTGCTCTCCAGTTGATCACTAAGCAAGCAGTGTGGTCAGATTTTTACCCACACATATTGTAAACAAAAAAAAAAAATACCACCAAACAACCATTACCAATTACCTCCACGATCTAATCATATTCACAATCAGTAACTGTAGAACCTTAATCCCCGTTTCTACATTACAAAATAAAATATTTTAGATCTAAGGTGATCACATAGCGTATAAAAACGCGTTTACCAGCGTCGGATCTCTGTCAAAATCAGATCTAAGTAAAGATCTGAAAGTTTACTTAGTGGCAAGTAGATGATGGAGACGAGAGGAGTGGTAATGGCTAGCAAAATGATGAACAAGAAAGAAAATAGCATAAATAATGAAATGAAGGAGGGAGATGGTTAGAAACACTACGCTCTCCCTCCCCCATAAAGAACAAAGAAAAAGGGAGAGAGAGGCTAAGGTTTGAGAGAGAGAGTTAGGAGTTTTTAGAGAAGGGAGAGAGAGGCTAGGGTTTGAGAGAGAGAGAGAGTATATCCAAAAGTAGTATTAAAATATCAATTTAAAGTAGATTTAAATTCTCCAAGGCTCTGATTTTCCCAAAGTTACTATGTTAACTAATAATTATTCAGATTCAAATGGAGAATGATTTGCCAGGAATCAACCAAAACCAGGATCTATACTTTAAACTAGACCTACCCCACTGAAAATGATTTGCCGTGCGATCGTGGGGTTCCCATGAGAGGTAAGGCAAACCTTGACTTAACCTTCGAAGTTTTTGAGTTTGTTGGCCTTTCAGATGGCACCAGTTTAGCTTCCATTCCTTCAAGAGAACTACCAAGAAATAGTAACTAGCAATGTTAGAGATTAAAATCAGACAAAAAAATACTTATAAAAAAAAAAATGTAGAGTTAATTTATTCTAAATATAGATCCTACCAAGTATATTATATTGGACCATAGATTTTTTTTTTTTTAATATTTTTCTGTTGACTGATTTTTTAATCCCTAACATTATTATATTTCATAAAAAGGCATTTCAAAACAATGTTTTAAGTCCCTTACTTAAAAAAAAAACAAAAACAAAAAAACAAAAAAAAAAACAAAAAACAAAAGCAAAACAAAAACAAAAAATGATTTAGACATTTCTTGTGATTAAGGAAAACCTTTTTTGTTTGGTGCTATATGATTAATAAATACTTATAGAATTTCCCTGATTAAATACTCAAACTTTGACTACAACCACTTCTTGTAAATCCATATCACTTTCATCTCCTCTCTATTATTTTCATGACAACATTTTCATAACTTGCCAACATTTAAACAAGTTCATACTAATGGCACTCTAGACCATGTGTGACCATTGCATCATCACTATAGCGATGTAAAATACTAGACGAAGGTCAGAATACTAGAATGAGTCTAAAAAAATAATAATAATAAGATAAAAAAAAACTTTACATAGTTTAAATCCATGTTTACATATTCTAAAGATTATAAGAAGAATATATATTTTTTAAAAAATTATATGGAGCTCTACTTGATTTCCCAAGGCTAATTAATAATGGTTGTTCCCTTTTAAAAAAAAAAAAGAAAAAAAGAAAACCCATATTAGAATTATGGTTCTAAATTGTGGTATCAGGAGTATAGGTCAGTACATGTTACGAGTATAAGTCAGTACATGTTATGTTAGGAATCAGGTATTATAGTAATGAAAATTTGAAAATCATTAGAGGGATATGAGACGTAATATTCATCGTAACGATTGTGATCCAATATCTAACGGTTCAGTACAATGTCGGGATGTGTCTGACTTGGGGCCTTGTAAAACAGTGGTGGCTTTAGGAATTTTTGTCAGTGGTATCAATCAAAAATTTAAATACCATATATCTTACAAAAAATTCACATTAATCATTATATCACATATGGAGAAAAAAATCAACAAATTAATTTAAATTCTAAAATTATAAACAAAAAATATTTCAATATATTGATACTATTATTTAAACAAAAAAACATGCTAATACACGAGCTTCTACAATTGACCACGACGAGATTTCATATTTTGAAATCGTTGCATAATAAGCTCATTATCAACACTATCAAATAGTGGGTTCAAAAGAGTAGGATTTAAAACTATGGGTTCAAAATTGTATTTTAGTGGGTTCAATTACTAATTTTTTTTCTTAAAATCTAATAATAATAATAATGATAATAATAATAATAATAATAATAATAATAATAAATTCAGCCAGAGGGTTCGGGTGACACCCCTAGCCAAGCCTTGGAGCCGCCCCTGTTGAAAAACCATTATGCATCGGCCATCACGTACTGGCCAAGTTTTAGAATCACGATCAAATTACGCTGATATATTTGATTGAAATCTGGGTGTTTTCAAATAAGTAGCACACTATTTAGAATGAAAATTGAGAACATAATAACTTTTTCTCATTAGAATGAAAATTCCAAGAGTTCGAATGAGTGATGCATTACAATTTTATTTTGAAAATTGTTCTTGCAAAAGGAAAAAATGCAACAAAGTCTTTATTCTTGATAATTATAGCATATTCTTTGTGTATATCTTATCTGTATATATAGTATATTCTCTTTATATATCTTATTTGTATATATAGTATATTCTTTGTATATACCTTAGCTTCTCTCCTATATAAATGAGATTGTACTGGTCATTATTTATTCAATTTCAATGTAAGAGTTTCTCTTTTTTCTTCTCTCTTTACTCTCATAACATGGTATTAGAGCTTAGGGTTTTCTCCTACCTTCTTTTCTTCTTCAATTTTTTTTTTCTTTTTTTTCCTTCTGTCTGGTAGATTGATTCCATCCCACATTGGTCTCTGATAGTTTCTACATGTCTAGTCCATCGAGGTTTCAATGATTGGACTATACTAGTTTTTTCGTCTTTTCAAGACGAATCCAATGCCACCAGAATCACCTATATCCGATGACACACACCCCCAAGCGCTGTCCAAAGATAGGCCACACGTTGTGACATTTCCTACGCACCTCGCGCGCCTCCTGCTCTCGCCTCGCGCTATCTTGCATCGTGGCCTCATCTGCTAATGTGAGCTGCATGTTTCTAACATCATCACTGATGTCGGGGCTTGCTAACGTGTGCTGCGCGCACCTCTAGTAACGTGCGCCGCACATTTTGTGACGTCATCTGACTTGCTGTGACGTCAACCCTAGTTCTGGTTGCCCAGCTCAGTCTAACAACTTTGACCAGCTGATTCACTGCCTTTCTGGTTATACTTTTGGCTCGTTCAAACTATGTCCTAACTGTTTTCAGCCTCCTGAATATGATGGTGTGTTCTGTTTTGGCAAAATCACTCTCTACAAAGCACCTTTTTCTCTTTTTTTGCCTTCTTTGAGCATCATAGATCATTCTGACAACATCTATTCAGTCTCTGATACACTTGATGGGTCCAACTATGCTCTCTAGGCCCAAGCTCTTTCTGGATTCATCAAAGGGAAATGGCTTTGGCGTATTATCACTGATGTTCTTTCTAAACCCATCCAAGAAGAAAAAGAGATTGCATCTGCTTTCGATGAGTGTCTTGATGAATGGGAAGGGAAGAACTACTAATTATCTCATGGTTCCGAGCTACATCTGTTCCTTCCATTAGCCTTTAGTTTGGACGCTTTCAGCATAATGATTCCATTGCCTCTCCTGCAAAGGCAATTTGGGTTTTCTTGAAGGAACGCTATCAGACTACTGGACATGCTCACCAATATCAACTCCTACAAACTTTTCATCACATGTGCTAGGAGCCTGGTCAAGCCATCAATGATTTTTTATCCCAGATGTCATCTGTTTGGGACCAGTTGGCTCTCTCTGAACATACTTGGGCCCATTCTGAGGATGCATAGTCACTACAAGAATTTTCACTTTTGGCGACTAAATTTTTAGTAGCCAAAAGTTAATTTTTAGTCGCCAAATGGTTTTAGCGACTAAATTATTTGGTCGCAAAAGTAGTCTCCAAAAAATTGTCGATAAAGGTAATTAGCGACTAAAATTATTTTAGTCACCAAATATATATAATTCCCGACTAAAATTTTAGTTGCCAAAAGGTTGGACATTAAATTAAATTAGACCTTTTCGGCGACCAAACTCTTAGTCGTCTAAAGTCCCATATTTTAGCTACTAAAATTTTAGTCGGCAGAGAGTTCTTCTTTTGTCTACTAAAAATTTAGTTGCCGAAAGTCCCATATCTTTGGCTACTAAATTTTTAGTCGGCAAAGAGTTCCTCTTTTGGCTACTAAATATTTAGTCGCCTAAAATTCTACATCTTTTGCTACTAAAATTTTAGTCAGCAAAAGTGTTTTTATCCTTTAATTTTTTGTTTTTAGCTACGAAATATTTTAGTCGCCAAATGTTTGATTTTCTTTTGGCTACTAAACTTTTAGTCGCCAAATGTCTACTTTATTATTATTATTTTTTTTTTATACAAAACTTTTAGTCGTCAAATGTCTTTTTCTAATTTCTTTTTAGCTACAAATTGTTTAGTTGCCAAAAACATGATATTATGTTTTATCGCAAAATTATAATTTCTCCACAACATGTCTATATTCAATGCAACCTGTAATACGTATATAAACAAAATAATACATACTATCAATCATTCCAAAATCTGCATCCATATACCAAAAATAAATAACTTTAAATGTCAAAATCCATACAAATCAACTATTGTCCAAACTAAAATAATAATTCCATACAAAATATATCATACAAAAATCAAAGCCCTCTGTATACAAAAAATACATTTACTACCAAGCAAAATTACCATTTAGCATGGTACAAATTACCATCGTAATCTGTACAACGACAAAAGGTGATATATTTACCACGACAAAAGTTTTCTATAGATTATGACAAAACGTCCTATATGTACGTCGACAAATGGTGTATATATACCACGACAGTCATTATCTGTTGATTGCCAAAAGTTTTCTGTATCAGTAATAATGAACTACACAAAAGCTGAGGACAACAAAAGCATTATATTAGTTCTACACAAAAGTGAAAATTCTTCTCCATACACCAATATGGATTATCCACAAGTCCATGTAACAAAGCCATCTACAAAGAAAAACAAAAAAACAAAACATTAGAATTGGTTACAAAATATCAATTCAATTAGCTATATAGAACATGTTCTAACATGCATTTAAGGAAGGACAATCGAGAAATGTCTTCTTGGAAATAAAAAAAAGTATATATATATACATGTATCATGCAACATTTATTCCAACCAACTGCACAAATAATAAAATATGTAATTTCTTCGTCCTATAAATATATAATGGCAATTATTGAAATATGTAGATGTTATTTTCATAAAGTTGTAGCTTTTTAAACTAAGTGTTGTGAGTTTTTTGACTAAGTGAAAGGCCTATTCGGGGGCTGTTATGAATTTTCGTGCCGGAAAAGCTATTTTTCAAGTAAGTTTAGGGCGTATTCAGCTCTAACTCCCAATCTACGGGTCCGAATTACATTCCGCCAGTTCTCACAAGTCCTATTTGTCATGGCGAAGCTATTTGTGTGAGCCACATGGTCGTTTGGGGACTGTTTTGAATTTTCGCTCCGGAAATGCCCTTTTTCGACTAAGTTTAGGGCGTATTTGGCTCTAACTCCCAACCTACGAGTCTGAATTACATTCCATCAGTTGTCACATGTCCTATTTGTCATGGAGAAGCTGTCCGTGAAAGTCACATGGTCATTTGGAGGCTGTTTAGAATTGTCGCCCCCGAAACGCCCTTTTTCGACTAAGTTTAGGATATATTCGGCTCTAACTCTCTACCTATGGATCCAAATTACGTTCTGTCAGTTGTCACAAGTCTTATTTTTCATGGGGAAGTTGTCTGTGATAGTCACACGGTTGTTCGGGTGCTGTTTAGAATTTTTGCCCTTGAAACGCCCTTTTTCGACTAAGTTTAGGACATATTCGGCTCTAACTCTCTATCTATGGGTCTGAATTACGTTTCGTTAGTTGTAACAAGTCCTATTTGTTATGGGAAAGCTATATGTGCTAGTCACATGGTCGTTCAAGGGCTGTTTAGAATTTTCGCCCTGAAACGCCATTTTTTGACTAAGTTTAGGACATATTTGGGTCTAACTCTCTACCTGTGGGTCCGATTTACATTCCATTAGTTGTCACAAGTCCTATTTGTCATGGGAAAGCTGTCCGTGAGAGTCACACAGTCTTTTGGAGGCTTTTTAGAATTTTTTCCCCCGAAACGCCCTTTTTCGACCAAGTTTAGGACGTATTAGGCTTTAACTCTCTACCTATAGGTCCGAATTACGTTCTGTCAGTTGTCACAAATCCTATTTGTTATGGGGAAGTTGTCTGTGACAGTCACACGGTCATTCGGGGGCTGTTTAGAATTTTTTCTCTAGGAACGCCATTTTTCGACTAAGTTTTGGGCGTATTCGGCTCTAACTCTCTACCTGTGGGTCTGAATTACGTTCTATCAGTTGTCACAAGTCTTATTTGTCATGGTGAAGCTGTCCGTAAGAGTCACATGGTGGTTCGGGGTTTGTTTAGAATTTTTGCCCCCTTAATGCCCCTTTTCAGTTAAGTTTAAAGCGTTTTTAGCTCTAACTCCCAACCTGCACGTGCTAATTACATTTTGTCTACTGTCATAGGTCCTATTTGTCATGAGGAAGCTGGTTGTGGCATCCATATGATGGTTCAGGGGCTGTTTTGCATTTTCACCTCCTTAACGCCTTTTTTCGGTTATGTTAAAGGCGTTTTCGGCTCTAACTCACAGCCTACACGTGCTAATTACATTTCGTCTATTGTCATAGGTCCTATTTGTCATAGGGAAGCTGGTTGTGATATCCGTATGGTGGTTCGGAGACTGTTTTGCATTTTCGCCTCCTTAACGCCTTTGTTTGAATAAATTTTAATAAAGAAAGCTACATAGGTTTGTCTCTAGGTATTCAATTCCTTTAATTTAACCTGATATCCAAGTACATTACAAAATATTCCTATTTCTTAACAAATTTCATTTATTTTCTAGAATAGAATGGTGTGCACAATATGCCATAAAGCCATAAAGGTGTGCACAATATCCCATGCTGAAGTCTTGATACAAAGTTCTATAGATCTGTGAGTTGCTAAATTGATCAACTTCTGTAGATCCTAACAAGGAGGAAATGAAATTTAAGATTTGATTGATCGGAGGAACTTACTAGTGTTATCTCAAACTGTTCACCAGAGTTCCCCAAGACAATAACAAATACAATAACCTCCAATACAAAAACAAAATTGCCTACATTAACACTCTTTGGCCATACATCCAAGAAATGGGCATCATTTTCTTGATCAAGCTTGAGTTCTTGCATCAAGGCAATTGACAAGAACATTAGGATACAAGTTAGGCAAATCAAACGATCCTAATAAAGAGGTAGTGGCAACAGACCAATAGATCTAAAAAAGATCACAGCAGAAGACATCGATATAATATGAAATAGTAAAGTGCAAAATGACACTCTTATTGTCACTTGATCTGAAGACACATGCATATCACGTACTATTTTTTGACACTATGTACTAAAGGGTAACCCAATGTATGAGACTCCCACTAAGACAAGGTCTGTGGAGAGCAAGATGTATGTAGCCTTAACCCCATTGTTGGCAACAATCTCCAAGGATTCAAGACAGAACAAGAGACTAAGGTTTCTACTTTCCCAATTACAACCACACAATCATCATATAACAGCCTGAAGTTGAAAAGAAATAAATATGAATATAAGGTGAATTTTCATTAATGAAGCGCAAAGGTAAACATCACAATAATATACAGAACCAAGTCTTCAAGCCACAGTAAGATCCTCACGAAAGAAAAATAAAAGAGATCAAATATGGTTAATGGGGTAGACTTTGTCAAGAAATTAAGGTATTTGCAAACATGCTTACACAAGATATGTGGATAGCCGGAAGCTCTAGTTGAGTTCCAGAGGTGCTTCCCTTTCAGAAATTAATGGAATTTCTAAGCCTCATGATGAACAAAAATGCTCTACACTAACCATTATACAAGACAACAGATGAGCAAAAGCAATGGTGTTAATTACGATATGAGAGGACATTATCGGTCCAACTACCAAAGGTATCCACAACAGGACGGGAACATACGAGTCCCACGACTCACACCAGAGGGACCAACTAAGTCAACTATAATTTATTTTTACAACATGATCCTAGTGTTTAAGGAAATTACTAGGAATATTGCCTACCAAAACAGAGGTGAATCCACTATTAGGTAACATTAATAGTGTTACCTGCAAATTTGGTGTATTCGCCTAATATATAGTACAGGTAATAGTAATGCTATTAATGATGCTTACAGACCAAAATTAGTTAACCAATTATTACTGGGTAACAGAAGTTTAGAGGGGGAAAAGATGCTAAAAGTTTTAATTCAATCAAACCAAATATATAATATAAAAATGAGACTTTTACTCATTACTTAATTAAAGACCAGTGAGATGCCTGCTGTGTATATTCACGTACCTGATCCACATCATAGTTCAACAATGTAGTAGGAGTCGCTTCAGAGTGCAGATTTCCTTCTAGAATGTCCTTCGTGGACTTCAACTCTTGCATTAGCTTCATTGCGAGACGTTCAATACCATGCATCTGCCTTTCTGAGAATGCATAAAACGAAAATCAAACACTAAAATCAAACCCATATTAGGTATGAAAGCAATGCTACCTAAATCACATCAAACGAATTTCACAAGTTAAAATAACCTCCCCCCATCTAAAAATGAATCCTTTAGTGATCCTCCAGGCTTCTTAATAATCTGAATGGCCTTCAAGTTTGTGCTGCCCTGCCATTTCCATGAAAATGATCAGCACAACAACAAAGGATAAAATAATATTTCGTATGACTAGCAGTGTACAACAATATAAGCTGTCTGAATGTACAAAGGAGATTGTAAATTACTAATCAAAGTATTATCAACTTCACAATTTAATTCAACTTCTTTTTATTCAAATGATGTTTGAAGTAGAGAGTATTTTCTTAATTAGAAATGTTCCATAACATGGTCTCATATCAATGATATCAATTTGTTAATCAATCTATTAAGGGAAAGGGAAAGTATGGATTGGAATGTTCCATATCATATCAATCTGTTAATCAATCTTTCACTCAAATTTGATGGGGGGAAAAAAGAAAAAAAGAGAGAGAGAATGAGAGAGATAGTAAAGATTGAATTTTCTGCAATCATGGTCTCATAATATAGCCATGCAAACAGAAATATGTAAAACTTATTCTTTAATTAGAAGCCAATCAAGCAATATCATATTGACAGGGGCATGGAATTAAGAAAGAAACAATTCTGGAAACAATGTAGTTCATGATAGATCTAGAGCATATTACACAACCAAAATTAAAACAAAGGCAAAAAGTAAATTTAATAGTTCAGTATAACTAACGCAAGGCTTTTCTTTTTCACCAATTTCTTTTTTGGAAAACAGATATATCTTATGCTAGACCAGTTTGGTAATCAATCCCAGGGTGTAGAAGTTAATCCAGAGAAGAATTTAGCTGAAAGTATGAGTCACAGAAGTATTTGAATTTGAGGCCATTCTACCAATAATCTATTAGACCCTCAGGTTGCATCAATAGATAAAGAACAAAAACAGTTCTCAACTCATGTTCAAAACTACTTCAAATTTGGGTGAATTGATTCAATACGAGCAAGTGAGATCACTAATTTCTAAAAATTTATTCCTCTTCAAATAAATTATGATAAAATCTATTGACAAAATGATAATTTTTTCACACTTCAGACTTTTAACTATATTTTTTATTCTTGTACAAATGCCTAAATGAATGATTTAATAATAACTGAACTAACATTAACACCTTAAATATGGTCTCTGAAAGTCATTGACATGCCACAGTATTTGTGTTGCTTGGGCGGTTGGTGTTGGTGGTGTAGTTGGAACTTGGAGTTGTTGTCAATGTCCATCTCTATAGTGTTCTCCACTGCTGTGGCTTCCCTTGGGAACTTAGAAGAGGCACAGAATAATCAAACCTTTCCTAAAGGAAAATTACTGAAGATAATATAGCAAATAAGATTGATAAAGAAAATAAACTCAAAAATTACAAGAAAATTAGAATTCAAGAAGGAGATCAATAGCCTATGATCACTGCATCAGATTGCTATCATTAAAACCAATATTCCATTTTTCTTTAATCTTATAAATTTAGAGATTGGCCATTGAATATGGGTTTGAATCTTATAAATTTCTTCTCCGTCAAACCCATAAAACTAAAATCAAACCCATTTTCGATATGAAGAATATTATAATTCATAGAAATCAAACACTTTAACCAAACCCATTAACGAAATCAACACAAAATTAAACTAAAAAAATCAAATAAACCCTACATGAAGTGTGAGAAATGGGGAAATAGGGGAAGGGAAAAAGAGAGAGAGAGAGAGAGAGAGGGAACTAAAGAGATGGCTCGACAGAGAGAGAGAGACCCAGATCGACAACGAGGGAGAGGACCAAGCGTGACAGAGACAAACCTATGATTTGTGGCAGTGTTGGTGATGATTTCAGCGATGGAGGTGGCGACATGCGGCGGTGGGGACGGATGGTGGCCAGCGACGGTGAGAAAGGGAGCGGAGAGGAGCAGCGAAGAAGAAGAGGGAGAGAGAGAGAGACAGAGAGAGAAACGCTGAAGAGAGAGGAAGAGGCAGACTGGTTTGTGGTTTGAAAACCAAATATATATATATATATATATATATATATATGTTACACCATTAGCAACTAAAATTTTTTAGTTGCTGAAACAATTTTATAAATCCCTCCAAAGTATTTGAAATATCTCCCTCCAATAATTTTAGTTCTTTGGTAACCAAAATTATTTTTTGTCGTTGAAAATAAACTTTTGGCGACTAAAATTTTGGTCACCAGAGGTAAAAAATAATTTTTTATTTTCCAATCGACGACTAAATCATTTTAGTAGCCAAAGCTCAATATGTAGCAACCAAAAATATTTTTCGTCGCTGAAAATAAACTTTTGGCGACTAAAATTTTGGTCGTCAAAGGTAAAAAATAAGTTTTTATTTTCCAATCGACGACTAAATCATTTTAGTAGTCAAAACTCAATATACGGCGACTAAATTTTTTTTTTGTCGCCAATTCTGGCATTTTTGGTGACTAAATTTTTTTTTTTTAGTTGCCAATAACCAACATTCCCCGACTAAAAAAAATAATAGCTAAATATTTCACTTTTGCCGACTAAAAAAAGTTTTGGTCACCATTTCTACAACTGTTGGCGACTAAATTTTTTTTAGTCGCAAATCTTGGTCGCCGAAGGTGCATTTTGTTGTTGTGAGTTATTTATTGTTCATAGGAATCATCAGTGACTATTGGAGTTTCTTATGGCTCTTCATAGCACCTTCGAGCCTGTGCGTGCTTCCATGCTCCATCGTTTTCCCTTACCGACTTTGGAGCAAGCCATTACCGAACTATTGTCAAAAGAAACTCGTTTTGGGATACTCAAAACTCAAAACTTGGATTCTATTCTTGCTACACCATCATCACAGGGTTCTTCATCTTCATAGCCTCCTAGCTCATGCATTTATTGTCGTAACCGTGGCCTACCTGCCAATCACTTTCTATTTCAATGCCATGTTCGTGAATGCTTGACTTGCCACGAGAATACTCCTGGTAATCTCCAAAGCAATTGCCCTTGAGTTACCCCTGCTTCTTTATCTAGGAAAAGGTCTTCACGCTCTAGGCATCAATCTTCACGCTCTGTTCCATCCATCAAAGTTTGCAAACTTCACGTGTTTTGTATGGTTTGAAACAAGCTCCTTGTGCCTAGTTTGCCAAGTTCAGTTCTACTATTCATGACTTTGGCTTCTCCTCCAGTGTCTATGATTTTGCCTTGTTTATACATCAGACAGAGCGTAGCATTCTTCTTCTTCTTCTCCATGTGGATGATATGATCATCACTGGAGATGACACAGTGGGTATATCTAGTCTCAAACAATTGCTCAGTCACCAATTTGAGATGAAAAAATTAGGTTTGCTTAGCTACTTCCTCGACTTAGAAATTTCTCATGATCCTTCTAGTTACTTTCTCACTCAAGCCAAGTATATCTCTGATCTCTTGATTCATGCTGGTCTTATCGATTGCAAGACTACCATTACTCCAATTGATCCTCAGACTTGTTTCACACGTCTTAATGGTCACCTATTATCTGATGCTACTTTATATCGTCGGCTAGTTGGCAGTCTTGTCTATCTCACGATTACTCGTCCAAACATAGCCTACATTGGTCACATTGTCAATTGGTTCATAGTTGCTCCTCACTGTCCACACTATGATCTCTAGTTTGCATTTTGCGCTATCTCAATGTAGACACCCCATTTTTGACCGACCTTAAGACTCATACATCATCGATTGAGCGCTCGATGATGATGCATGTTGTGCTCGTTCTGAGGTTTCGGAGTTTTGGTTGAGAGCCTTGCCTCCGGGCCTCGGAACTCTTTGTGCTTTGGCTTGGTCCACAAACCAAGTCTTGTTTTCTTTTCCCAGAGGGATGGAGAGGTCTTGTAGACCGTCTCTCAGTGGTTCGTAAGCTACTTTTCGTGGTCGTAGGCCACTGTTCCCATTTTCGAGACTAGTTTTCAATTTTCGGAGCAGTCAGCCGTGCGCCTCAACTCGGGACCGCTTAACATTCTCCGTTTGCCACGGTTTTTGGAACACACCTTGTTTCCTCTGTCTGGAGGGACACTGTGGCCCGAGAGACCACTTTTATGGTCGTACGCCACTTTTGGTGCTCGGCAGCTAGTTTTCGAGGCTCTCGGCCGCGCACCTCGCCTCCCGAACTCTCGTCTTGCATCTGTTTTGGTTTGTTTTTGGTACAATTCTTGTTTTACTTGTTTGGGAGGTGGTGCAAGGGTGGGAGACCACTTTTTCTCCTTGGAGACCACTTTTCTCCCCACCAGCCGATTTTCTGGTCGGAAAACTGGTTTTCTTGGTCTTTGGGCCACATTTACTGGTCTCCCACCCCACCATTGGCTTTCTTTCAGTGGTGGAGGCCACCAATTGCACCTGCCGACCATCTTTTTATTTGGGAGACCACTTTGGGTGGTTGGCCGACCACTAAAAGTGGCAGGCCGACCACTTTTTCTAGTCAGCAGCTTTCCTCTTGTTTTGTCTGACTGAATGGATGCCAGCTGTGCCAGCTGGAGGGCACAGACTGTATCCTCCATACACGTGTATGGAGGGATTGCATCCAAGTCTAGCTTCTCTAAGAAGCTTGAACCCTTTGTTTCTTTTATAAGAGAGGCTCTCCCTCTCCTTGAACCAGGTTCAGAAAATTTCCTAAGGCACAAACACATATCTCTCTCTATATCTCTATATTTTGAGGCAAAAGTGTGTATTGTTCTTGACCTTCAACACCCCAACTCTTAGCCATACATCCTTACCATTGAACTGAGGTTCCTAGAGGTTATTTTTGGAGGTTAAAAAGGTGGTTTTTGGCTGAGGAACTTGCTGGTTTTGTTGAGCTTCAAGGGTAATCTCTTTTCTCTTTTTTTAAACTTTGTCTTGCTCACTCTCTTAGCCATACTTGCATGCTTATTTGAGCTTTGTTGTCAACTGAAAAAAAGCTCCATATTTAAGTATTTTTCATGTTTGTTTAGGGCCCTTTTGGTGCTGATGGTCATCTTCCCTCTTGCATGCCCTATTTGGCCTTGTTTTGTGCCATGCCATAAGGCCTTTGAGTTAATCCTCGCATGGCCTTTTAGCCACTGAAATCTAGTGGATTTTCAGTGGTTGGCATGTGGTTTTGAGGCCCTAAATCAGAGAGGGGTGACCCTCTCTCTTTTGGTCTTGTTTGCTTGCTTTTTTTGGCCTATCAAAGGAGCATATGTTTTCTCATTTTCAAGGCTCGGTTCAGGCACTTTTTGGTGAATTTTAGGGCCTACCTAGACTCTGTCTATGGCTGGTTTGGTCACCTTGGGTTTGCCTCTTGCATGTGTAGAGTAATCCCTTTTGTGGCTTATCAAAGTAGCACGGCATTCTTGCATGTATTGGTCATATTTCAGTGGATTTTTGGACATCATTTGGCATGCCATGACTCTATTTTTGGCTGGTTTGGTAGTCTCTCACATGCTTCATATGCTTGTAGTGTAAATCATATTTATTAGCTTAGAATGCATGGTGTTTTGGCCCTCTATTCTAGCATACTTTGGCCATGCTCCAACTTGATTTTGTTCGTATTTTGGGCTACCTTAGCTCTTTTTTGAGGCCTCTTGGTTGAAAGATGCTTGCCATGAACGCTTGTAGTATAATAGCCTTGACTAGCTTTGAGTTTTGAAGTCCCTTGCATGCTTAACTTGAGGTATTTTCATGTTTTGGTATCATTGAGCATGATATTTCAGAGCATATAGGGTTGTCAGACTTCCATGTTTTCCACTCTTTAAGTGCCCTTGAGAGTTGTGCTTTTATACCCTATTTTGTAAGCCATTGCATGAGCTTCATTTTTGTGCCTTTCAAGCCATCATCCCAACTCATTTTGCTACTATTTTGGGCCTGCATAGGGTCTGTTTGGAGTTGGTTTGGCCATTTGAGAATTCCCTTGCATGCCTATAATGTAATACACTTCACTAGTTTCGATGCTTGAGCCATTCAACATGCATTACATGAGTTGTTTGCATAATTCGAAGTCATTTGGTATGCCATTTCAGAGCTGAAACATATGTCATTGCACTCCATATTTCATCCTTTCAATGCGCTTAGAAAGTTGTGTATTGTGCCTTAGACTTGGGGCCGTTGCATTGTGCATGCTCATATGTGTTATGATGTCTTATTTCCATCATCTATTGGCCACTGATTTGGGTGTGGCTGAGGCCCATCCATTTTGGTTTAAGTCCATTTTGCATTGAGTATGCCATATTGTCGCATGATTGATCATTGCATTGTGCGTGACTTGTTCATCTTATTGTGTATGTTAGTTTCTATGTGCATTGTGTATACTAAGTGTCATGTGCATTGAGTATGCAATTGTTAGTTCATAGCATTGTGTATGCTAGTTACATGTTTGCATGTTGTCCCTTGCATGTTTGCATGACTTAGTTGCATTGCATTAAGATTGCATGCTAGAGTTGCATTGGTGCATGCCTTGTTTGTTGCATTGTGTTTGGAATATGGGTTAGTCCAAACACGGGGAATGAGGACGTTTCATGCTCGAAGTGAATAAACATGTCTCGATTCCCAGTCGCCGGCACTCTTGACTACCCATGACAGAGTTGTTGGCTTTAGGTGCTTGTATGTGCATTCATTTCACATTGAGTCGTGCAATCTGACTCCTCGGCCATCATGCATCGAGATGCGTGATTGGTGGCCCGAGGGTCAAGGACTACACTCCCTTGAGCTTATACAATGATGGGGAGAGCGGTCGTGCACACATGTGTTACGAAAACTTTGCCATCTCTCTCTGTTGCCTTCTGTTACAGAAAACCAGAAACCAGGGGCAGAAACTGGTCGGCCGACCAGATTTAGTGGCTGGCTGACCACTTTTTCTGGTTTTTCACCACAAAAGTGGTCGGCAGGTGGTCTCCAAGGCCAATAGCTGGTCGGCAGCCTTCTCACAGATTTCTAGGGTGGAGTTTCAGCCTTCTTGAGCTTTGTGCAGTGTTCTGAGGTCAATTGCAAACAGAGGCAAGTTGGGGCGTCACGAGGGATTTTCGCGCAAGGCGATTCGAACATGCATACATCCTTCGTTATCCAAAGCAGAGCTGAGGCAGCCTACATCGTATAGTTCATATGCTTGTTTAAATTGCTAACCTAGTTAATTTGTTAATTAGTTAGTATTGTGTAATAATTAGCTGTGACTTGTCATTCATTTTGTTGTGTAATAACTAGTTTAATTAGATTAGTTAGTTAGCTTGTTATTCGAACCCTCTGTCGAGAGGGCATAATTGTTGTAATAAGTGTGCGTGTGTGTGATGCATGTCTTCCAACCCCCATTTCTTTCTCCCTTTCATTTACCAACTTACAATGGTTAGTTTTGGGCATGTTTCAATTAGCATCCTTATGCTCGCATGTTTGCATCCATTTATCTGTCTTGCATGCACCTGGGTTCGGCGCATCATACTAACTGCATTGTATTTCAATTCCTGTTTGAATACATGTATCAAATTGCATTTCACATGACATTTTAGAATAGCCAAGCCTATCTTAGTTGCATTTTGTATGTGTTGCATTAGGCATTCTTGACATAGCTAGGATCATGCATTGATTTTTAACATAGCTTTCGTTTTGGCTTGGAGTACTTGGTAAGTGTTTATGCTTTAGCATCCTTACATGTGTGTGAGTGACCGCCATGACAGCATGCTTGCCATGGGGCTAACTGCTTATGTAATATAACTGCTTGAATGCCTATGGGTGAAGGTTAGATTACTTGAATTGGAACAATTCATTTATCGCGAGTTTTTAAGCCCACTTGAGAGTGGCAAATCACCATGTTTTCTAAAGCCCACTTGAGGGTGGCAAAATCCGCATTTTAGCCTACTTACGAGTAGCAGACCGCTTTCAAAAACAAACATGAGATGTTTTGTTCCAACTTAGGCGATCCAGTCTATACTTGTATGCTGTGCGCACCATATAGTAATTCTAGGTTAATAATTGGAATAAGAGCACATGTGTTTTCAAAAAAACAAGATATAATGTTAGTAAAGGCCGATCTTTGATCGGGCGAACGGAGGTGCTCATTGCATGACCTTCCCCTCTCGTACCCAAGTTCCCGAGCCGAGGCAACTTTGGTGATGACGGACACGTGGCCTTAGGCACGAGTCAGGGTTTCCTAAATTTTCAAAAAATAAAATATTTAGGTGGCGACTCTGTATCTGGCAATGCAGTCCATGTTTGACACTTCTTTCTAAAAATCAATTTTTCAAAACGATTTGCCGGATTTGGACTCTTTGGTGATTTATCGATCTTGCATTGTATTTTGTGAGATCAGATTCAGAACCGTGACATTGAGTTCGAACTGTAGCAAGCTCCAATGAACAAAATGGGATTTTCCCGAGACGTTCGGGCGCATCTACACTCAAAGGCACTATGTTTTATGGTCTTCACTACTCAACACACTCTTCTCTACAATTACATCCATTTTTTTATGTAAATTGGGCAAGTGATCCTACTGACCACCGTTCTGCTACAGGTTTGTACTTTTTCTTGGATGATTCTCTCATTGCCTGGCATAGCAAGAAGCAAACTCTTGTTGCTCGTTCTAGTACTGAGGCTGAGTATTATGCTCTCGCTGACACTACTCAAGAGCTTATGTGGTTTCATTGGCTTCTTTCTGATATGGGAATTCCTCATTTTGCAACCACTAACCTCTATTGTGACAATCAGAGTGCTATTTAGATTACATATAATGATGTATTCCATGATCGCACCAAGTATATTGAGATTGATTGTCACGTCATACGGCAACATGTTACTAGTGGCATTGTTTGTCTTATGTTTGTTACCTCTACTGATCATACAACTAACATCTTCACCAGGGCTCATCCTCCAAGGCGATTTTCTGATTTACTTTCCAAGCACAACTTGATATCTGCATTACCACCTTGAGCTTGAGAGGGGGTGTTAAATATAATATATTCTCTATATATACCTTAGCTGTGTATATAGTATATTCTCTATATATACCTTAACTTCTCTCCTATATAAAAGAAATTGTACGATTCATTATTTATTCAATTTCTATTTAAGAGTTTCTCCTTTCTCTTCTCTCTCTACTCTCATAACAATTCTTATGAAAAGAAACGAAAAACGCAATGACTCAACATTGGCTTGAGTTTTAAGCCTAAACATTGCAATTTATTAGTCGAAAGTTGATATTCTAGTGAGACGGTTTTGTAACATTTACTGTTTAATATTTTTTGATGGGGAAATTGTGAATATGTTGGAAGACCAAAAAAAATTACAAAGTGATGGAAAAATTTATAATTTCAATTATTAAAGTTGATAAATTTTGTTATATATTTGAAATTTCTTTTGGAGATATGGGCTGAATTGTATTTTGCTTTTTTTTTAATTTATAAAAACATTAAATATATTTATATTTAGTTTTGGTACAAACAAAATAAAAACATGCTTTATATACGTTTTTTAAAATTTTGTTTTGAAGACAAGTGAAAGGAATGACTAGCGGTAGGTGGTGTTCGAGGTAATTGTTAACAGTCACAAATTGTGGCTAGATGTCGTTATTTGGTTGAATAGAGGTGATGTTTTTGTTGTCCGTCCAAGGCGATTAGCGGTGTCTTTAAATAGTTGTCGGCCACTAGAGGAGGTGACTACAACAATTCATGACGATTGAAGATAATTATTGTAAGGCTCGGGAATTTTGTAACAAATTTATTAAATAAAAATTATGTTTTTCTTGAAGAGTTATTCTAATTTAATGCATAAGATATAGAAGTTTGGCACACTTTAAATTAATCATTGTTTATAGGCCTTGATTAAACTAAATCCTAATTAACACTAATCGTCACAATTAGATTAAGGAAGCTTCTAAAAGCAATTTAGAATTTTGTCCTCACTCGATTGTCTTATTCATGAGTGTGTATATATATATATATATAAATAATAATAATAAAAAAGGGAGGGAAAGAAAATAGGGAGAGGGGAGGCCAGCCAACTCTCATGGGGAAGGGTTGATTTTGTCTTATATGAAGATTCATCTCAAAAGTGCAGCCCTCTTAGCATGCTTAACCATCCTTTTTCTTAACTTTCAGTGAAAAGATAGGTTGTCATAAATGTGCTTGTTGGGTAGACCACCCCCCGATGGCCATACATGCATGAATTCTTTTACCAAATATTTTCTCCAAACTCTCTCTCTCAATTTAGTCTCTCTATGAGACACAAGCTCCCCCAACTCCTCACTTACAATTTTCGGTTGGAGCTAGAGATTGGAGAGGGAGAGAAAGAAAGGAGAGAAAGAGAGGAAGAATGAGGAAGGAGAAGAAGGACTCATCGCTTAAAAGGTCTTCAAAGCTTCACTAAGGTAGGATACATAGAAATACTCCACTTCTTTAAGTTTTGGAAGATGTATGCAAAACAATCTGATATGTCTTATAATACATAAAGGAAGCAATAACAAACTCAATAGGAGAGGTCTCTCTTGCATGTCTTAGATGAACTCACTTGTCTTATCTCTTGTTATTATTTTTATATTCTCTTTGCTCTATTGTCATAACCTGTAGTACTTCTTGAATGCAAAAAAATACCTCCCCATAAAAAATGTAGCCTAGCATGCCTAAGTAAGGAACTAAGGAAGACAACCCATTGCTCATTCAAACAGAAACCGCACTATACAGAATCTGTTTTCACTTCAAAACCATGAAATAAATTACTTATTTATTATTTTGAAAATCTGAAGCTACTGGAATTATTTTAGGGTCTTATTTATATGTGAGAACTGCGAAAATTATTTGACACTATTTCATAGCCAAAAGTATGCTTTATGTTTACCTCTGTTGTTAAGATAGCAACAAGGCCTACTTTATATGGCCATGGCTTCTATCACAGAATGAAATTTTGAGTGATTCAAATTGGCGATGTGAGGTTTTTAAGTTATCTTTCCAATGCCATAGGTTTCAACTTATTTCATTAAGTGTGGGGTGAGATATGTCTGTTTTTCAAAAACACGACGAATCTGGAGCTACCTACTACTTTTAATTTAGTTGGACATCTTCCAATGGCCAAATGACTTCGAGCCACCTTCAAAAATATTCCCAACTTAATAATATATAACTCCACCAATAATCAAAAATTTTAAATGTCATTTACTATCATTTCTATATTTTTATTTGAGGGGAAAGTTTGCTGGAATCCGTTCAGAATCTGGAATAAAGTTAGTGATGGCTTAAAACCTTTTTGTATTGCCTTGTTCTTACATATTTTGTCTTGCATGCACTTAAATATGCTTGATCAGTTGGAATGAATCATGATATTTGTATTTTCATCAAGGGCTATTATAACCATAATATGGGGAAAATGAAATGGGAGGTTTTGGACCATGCGCATGCAGATGAATACAAATAAAAGGTATATTGATGTTTTGTTGGTGCATGGTGTGCCCTGGTTCTAAGGAAATGTGATTATTTAGCTTGTGAAGCCTTGACATGGCCTGAATCGTATTCTAACCTCACAGATTTGCACTACAACAAATTACACTTTTGGCGATAAAATTTTTAGTAGCCAAAAGTCGTTTTTTAGTCACCGAAGATTTTTGCCGACTAAATTTTTTGGTCGCCAGCTTTGTCGCTAGATGATTGTCGGGAAAGGTATTGGCGACTGATTTTTTTTTAGTCGCCAAAAGTCACCAATTGGCCACTAAAAATTTAGTCGCCCAAAAGAAAATATTTAGTCGGCAAAAAGAGAATATTTTCCATCTTCAATTTTTTAGTCGCTAAAAACGTGACACTTCTTTTGAGCTACCAATTTTTTAGTCGCCAAAAAAATTTCATTTTTTTTGGCTACCAACTATTTAGTCGCCAATAAGTTCTTTTTTTATTTTTGGGCTATTAAATGTTTAGTCGCCAAAAGCTCAAGCTCTATTTATTTATTTTTTTAAAGTGAACAAATTGAATGTTTTTCATTAATTTCTAAATGATATGCATTTCATTATCAATGCAACCTATAGCCTGTATGTATACAAAATAATATATCTATCAATTATGATCTAAATCCATTATCAATAATACCCATTTCATTATCAACTATTCAAAAACTTTAACTTGTAACACCATATTCCAAATATCATAAAAATCTATACAAACCAGGTATAATCCATCTAAATTAAATATTACATACAAAAACACTGTATTTCCAAAACAAATGATTGTTCCAAAATAAATGTCTTCCATATACAGAACAAATACTCTTCGTACACATCCACAATAGCTCACACAAAAGCAATCTGTAAAAAAAGAAAAAAAAAATTAACCATTAGCACTTATTCAATAATATTAACGTTTCAAATTATAACAATTATAAATAATTTAGATATATTATACTCTGCAAATTATAACAATTCTAAAATTAAAATTAATAATTTAGATATATTATACTCTACATACAATCGCATCAAGATCATTTTAATGTTTCTGTTTTGTTGAAAATTTATACAACCTCCAAATTGAACCTCATGCCTGCATAGTAAACTCTAGTTTGACAATTACATGCAATGTTTCCAAAATTTTCTTTTCTCACCAGTATACAACATGGTCCTAATTGTTTCAAAATCAAAATCCTTCAGCAGTTTTCATCAAATTTTGTTACTTTTGGCAATCTGCATTTTCACAAATCTTGAACATTGAAGGCACTACAGTTCCACAACCTCCAAGAGTCTAAATAATTAGTTTACCAAACAAAATGATTCCTCTTGTTGCTGCCACAATAGGCATTCATAAATATGTAAACCTAAACTTCATCATAAATTATGTCTAGTTGTCACGACCCGAACCCGCCCCCGTGGGTTAAGGACGTAACCGGCCAGTAATCATGAGATTACCTACGGCCTCAAACTGTTCTAAACGTATTTTAACAGAGTTAATGGGGGCCAAACGGAAGCAAAATTAAAAACTTTGTCCATAGAGCCGTGCTTATATGCACATCAAACAAACCATACTCAGATACGCTAATAACTCACATCAAAAGTACAGCTTCACAAAATTCAATACAGACAGGATCGTCCAAAACGAGTCAACCTATAACAGACTATGTACAGACATGCACTAGGTCCTTGCCAACAAGACAAAACATAGGTACATAGTAAAAGGGCAAGGATGGTCTCATGCGCGAGGCACAAGGCTGACTCTCCCAAAACTCCTGTTGTTCCTAGTAGACTTCACTGGGGCTGGGTTTGGACTTCCCTTGGCTCACCTACAAATACATGAATGAGCGTGAGCGATAGCCCAGTGAATAATATCAAACATAACAGTTACATAACAAATGCAGAACAACATGCTCCAAACGGCCTTGGGCCCAATTCATACTTCTGTTTAACAGCAAAATATATATATAACTATACGAAATGCAAGTCAAGTAACTGTAGTTCCAAACATTCTGGCCTTTGGCCCATCCCGAAGGCTTGGTTCGTGAGCAGAGGCAATCTAGACCGCAGGATACTGGTACCACTTCTATGCATGCCGAACAGACGAATGGCCGATATGTAGCTCCACCCCCTCCGGTGCCACAAGTGCCTCCGCAGCAAGCTTTGTATGGGAACGACACGATAACTCTAATCAGAGAGTTCAAGAAGATGAAACCGCCGAGATTTCAGGGAGGCATAGAACCAATGAAAGCTGAGGACATTGAGAAAACCGCTTTTCGGACAAGATATGGCCACTACGAAT